CTTGCGCACGAGTTTAGCCAAAAACGGCTTACCTCACTTCGGCCACGGTGCAAATGTGATTCACTAGATGAAGCTCTATCAGCAAACTTCATGAATGCGGTTAAAGCACTTCAATATTCTGTCGCTAGAGCGTGCAGCTAGAACGAAACATGGCAAGGTCCAGCTTTTTTAGCTTGTAAGCACTTAAATTGACTTTTAAAACAAAGCTTGCCCGTTCGGCTTCAGCTGAACTAAAACGGAGCCCGCAGCGTATTTACAAGTTCAGCTCCAACTTTTCCGCCAGTAAATTATCCGACTCTGCGTTTTTCACGCAATACGCCACAAAGGCGAAGGCTCCACGGCGCATGTCTATGTTTGTGCAGCAGGTTGTGAGCCCTACACAAACAGCCGGTTCGGAATTCAGGTCGATAAACGACAAGTAAACGGCACAAACGCTGTCTTTGTTTTGCGCGCCGCACACCCGGCCTGCACTGCTCCGCAGTCTGCTGTGAGTGTGGCTATATTTGCAGTTGGCCGTAAATTGGACACAGCTGGCGACAGGCCCCATTAGCCACTGATGGTGGATTCAACGTGAAATTCATCCGAAGCGGCAACAAAGAGACAGCGAGACATCAAAATGGCTGAAATTATTCCAGCGTTGAACATAACAAAAATTCGACTCCAATCGATTACAGCATGTATTAGAGGCATTAAAAATATCTAGTTACCTCTGACTTTTGCACTATTGAAAAAGTTATGTTTCGGAACTGCAATGAATACAAAGTGCAAGCGTTGTTCTGCGAATTATCGGCTAGTTAAAAAAAAAAGGTATAACGCTTGCGAACGCTAAAACGCTAAAACGAACAATTGCAAAGCGCACAGTTGCAAATTTTTTTCCTCCCTTCGGACAGCTATTGGTCTGTGGTAATTATGTAATATCATTTTGCATGATTTCACGGAGCACGTAACTGTCATTAGTTTACGGTCAACTTACGCTTAAGGGCGTCGCGATTGGTCGTACGATGCCCCGGACTTACCACGGCGGCGTACAACAACGCAGATGTCAGTGGGTCTCGAACCCACAACCGCGCGCTCATGTGCCAGCATTCTGGCACCGAGAAACCAGCCCACAATGCCAACACCACCATGACATGTGCATTCACCCTGCGCAGGGAGTGTGTACTTTCGTATTCGGAAAAAGCACACTTAGCGTATGTAACCAAAGCGAGCGATGAACCGCGACACGCAGAACAAAAATTTCTTGCCGCGGGGTCTGCTTCCACAGCAAACCACAACACGTACTGCTTACCCGAGCGCACCGTATCTTGCGCTTGACCTCGCTGAGGGTGACGTTGGAAGGCGCGAGGAAGCGCTTCTTGCGGTGGATCTTCCACACCCGCAGCGTGTAGTCGCCGGCCGTCACGAACGTGTCGTCCACGGTGCTGCAGAACTTGAGCACCAGTGAGTTGCCCTGCGTCGGCTGCGACGCCTTCAGGCCTGCAGCGCGGGGTCACGGAGGTGTCAGCCCGCGGCGGGACGGGCGCCAGGGTGACGGGACACCGGAGGTCAGAGCCGCAGTGGGGATGGGAGAGCTTCAATTAAGGATCGGAGATAGCTCCCGCGTTTATCGGGCGGCGTTTGCGCCACAGCGAACGGTTGGTAATTGCGCGAGGCCGTGTTTCGTATCATGCCTCCGCGGCCAAACGCGTTCCAATTAGGAGCGGCAACTTTAGTGCTACCGAGAGCTCCTCCTGTTTGTCTGCATTGCATTGCCTCAATGGGCAATGCTAGGCCTCAATGCATTGTCTGCAATGCATTGAGGCCTGTTTGTCGAGGCGAAGCTAGTGTGGACGGCATATGACATCCGTCTCTTCACAGCATGACTTGAACCAGCCATCAAAACGCAGAAGCGTGGCGGCAACCACTGTGACACCGCTCGGTCTCCCGAGCCCCCGGTCGACGGAGCGTCAGACGACAGCTGACTCTCACTCGCAGTCCTATGGCCAGCTCGCACATACGCCGGCCCGCGCCGAGACGGCTGACGGCGGCGCAACCCAGCCTGCCCGCCCGAGGCGTACCGCACAGTGGGTCCTTGGTGGCCACGTCGTACACGATGACGTTGCCGTCGTCCTGCCCGCCCAGCGAGGCCATGAACACGTCGTTGGGCGAGAACGCCACCGCCTCCACCTTGACCTTGTGCAGGTTGTGCGAGCCGTACCGCTCCAGCGTGTCGTACGACCAAATGATGACCTCGGCCTACCGGTGACGGGAGGGGAGGGGGAGGGGTACAGCGGCGCTAGAGAGCCCAACAAGCTGCCTTTGGTGAGACGCTGGGAGCCGCAGATGCAGGCCGTATAAACACAGCTGATGCAATCGAGCTGTAAACTGCATACGGATTTCCTTGCAGATGGCTTGCTGAGCTGTGCACAAAGTTAAACAAAATGCTCTGCTCTGGTCGCACTCGTACCCTTGTTCAGAAAAGACACACCGATTATATGCCACACCGTGCCAATCAGCGCTTCTAGAGGTGTAATAGGTGTTATCCGCAACCCTGAACACGTGCCATGAACACGTTACACGAGACCGCGACCGAAAAAACTCCCTGGGCCGGCCGGCGTCACATCGCTCAAGCGCGCCGCCGCGCCGCCGCCGCCGCCGCTCCAGCGTTCCAGCGCGCGGCGGCCGCCGCCGCGCCCGACCGTACCCGGAACCCCATGAAGTTGATCTGGCCGGAGGCGATGTAGCGGCCGCAGCGGCTGACGTCCACGCACGACACGTTGTGGCTGTGGCCGGTGAGGAAGCGCTGCCGCCCGCTGGCCACCTCCATCACCACCACGTCCGTGCCCAGCGCGTACACCACGTGCGTGCCGTCCGGGTGCACGTGCAGGCCGCTCAGCACGTTACCTGGCCCGACAGGCGAGCCGGTCAGCAACGCCGAACACCGGTCATTATCCACCGCGGTCGTCGGAGTGAGAGAGGTCGACCCTAGACGGTCTGGACGATGTTCTAGTCGTAACTAAACGCACATACACCCGCACGCACGCGCGCACGCACGCACGCATGCACGCACGCACGCACGCACGCACGCACGCACGCACCCACACACCCACCCACACACCCACACACCCACACCCACACACCCACACCCACACCCCCCCCCCCCCCCACACACACACACAGTTAGCTCGCTGGTGGCATGGGGCGTGGAACTGGGGCGGGGGTAGTTTGCTTGGGTGGATGGTTGGCCAGTTGGGATATATATCGACTACGCGGGAAGTGAATGGTTGATCTACGTCAGTAACCACATGCTCCTCTTCAACTGTACGCATAAAATATATCGCGCAGGACATGCACTCGAACGTTGAGTTTTCGCAACATTTCATTCCGGCTGGTCACCTTCAAATCCAATTGCAGCTGTCAGTTGCAGTTCCTTCTTCTTGACTTCACCGTCAGATGCCATGTTGAGATTGTGAGAAGATGCAGCGTGTAACACCACCTGGAAAAGACAGCGGAATGATACCTTTCCACCGTTCCTCAGATATATTTGCCAGGACCTACATGCAGGACCGTAAATTTGGCTCCAGCACGTAACTGGAGAAACCACCACATGATCAACATTCCTTTCCTTATTCGCGGTTTTATCCGAAATACCTGGAATCTGGTTTATCCTGGTAACCCGTTAATACCTGGCTTATCTGGGGCAATCCGTAAGCATCAGTCATGAGGGTGCAATAGATGTTCACTGGTGGGACATTAGATGTCCCCTGTTGCCCCTTGAAGGAAACCCTGCCCGAACCCACGGCTTTTCGAGGCGTGTGCGGGCTTGTTTAGGGAGGCATGTTACCCCACACAGAGAAACACAATTTCTCTGAGCGGATTAAGTCTCGGAGCAAATGACTCCCAACAGCATGTAGTCTTGCCTGATCAGTCTCCACTTCCCTTCATCCCATGGTCCTGAAGTGGCCATTACCGGTCGGAAAGGGCACTACATGCAGTCAAATAGTCGAGGAGATAGCGTAGCTCAGCTGGGAACGCGTTGCCGCACGAGCATGTGAGGAAAATCGTGGGCTTTGAGGCATGGCCTTCAGCCAAGAGTTCTGGGACCTATCGTTGCCAATTACCGCGGGGAACAACGATCATTGTCCACCACGGTAATCGGAGTGAGAGAGGTCGACGCTAGATGGCCTGGACGATGTTCTAGTCACGACCACACACACACACACACACATACACATACATACATCCATATGCTTTATATCGACGTTGCTCATGTAGAGGTTGCTATAAATTTTGAATGCATCGTTAATTTCAGTAATTGTCGGACCCAGAAGTTTGTTGACAAGATCAACGAACCAATCTGGTGTCCGGCATCAAACGAGCACACCTACGCAGATAAAGAGAAGCTAGCGCATGGACCAAATCTTGAAGTCTTCACGAGGATTGTGTTGAATGGACATCAACAGTCAACTCACGGAAGCACTCATCACGCTTTACGATCAAGACACGATTACATGCCGGAGATTTAGCCACGGACACGTTTTGATGTGTCATATATGCAAAAAAAACAGCATCCAATTGACAACGAGTGTTAACTTACGTGCACTTCCCAAGTACCCTGCGACCGTTTATTTTTGGTGTGGTTGCCTGTTTATTTCCGACAGGATGGAGCAATACCAGTTGCTATGGAAACAAGCTGGCAGCGTAATTTGCTTTTGTGGAATAATGTTTTTGTTTGAATTTTTTGCTTTTTGGGTATATCATAACAATTGGTCAGTGTATAGACAAACACTTGTATTATTTGTTCCAAATAATAATTTATGTCATTTACCAAATAAAATATGCGCTAATTTGTGCATGAAATGACAAACCATTTCAAAACTTTGGTAAGAAAACCCTACAGTACTATAAGAAAACTTTCTATAACTTCCCATCTGGCACCAATATTTTGTTGTGTATACGACGCATGTGGTTCGAGGAAACACGCTCCCGAGGAAAGCGGTCACAGCCATATCCTCAACCAGCTCATGCTACGGGCTTCTACGACGTTGGGTGATTGTTCATTAGTGTTGCTGAACTGTGCAAATCTCGTCAGGTACCGCGGTTGTCAGGTATGTGTCCGAAAATTGTGGTCAATCGAACTCAGTTTTCGATATAAGCTCCCTTGCGTGCTAAGCCATAGCCATCTTGATGCGCAGGCGGGGTGTGGTGTGGGCAAACCTGACGTTACAAGGGCCCGCTGAATGCTATCGCAACCATGCCCTATGGTGCATGCTAAGGTAGGATAACTGTCACCATAATGCCTTTCTAGTTTTTGCTAGGCTACATAACACTGTATTCAATCAAGTGATCATGGGGCCTCCTGCTCTGCAGATGAGTTATTGCCCATGTTTGTAGAAGTAATGCTCCTGTCTGATTATGGGGGTGTCTAAGGTATGAATGAGACTGGCATTGTCGTGTTATTATTATAATGTGATAATTATGCCCTTTAAAAATGAATTTCCTGCGCTCTCTGCAGAAATCACATTGATTGATTGAAGTCTCACTGTGGCTTTGGATACAGTCTTGATGGCTGGTTATATTTAATTATGGAGAATAACACCATTCCTTGCAATTACTTAAACCCAAATTGGATTTAGGCAGCTAATAATATGGTGATGATGACTACGGATTAAGGGTGTGCAGACGTTGAGGTCATTTTGTACCAAAAGGCAGCTAAGAAATAATATTCCATTCAAACCTAAGCAAATAATCAAATACTTTTAAATGTCATGTTTCTGGTCTACAGGGTATTCAGGGAGAGGAATAGTTATAGTTTTCACTTTAAGACATGCTATGCTTAAATTTGCTGCACCTATGAATGGCTCACATGATATTTTGCCAGATGTACTGATGCAGGTGATGTTCAGATGTTTTCAAACTTTGAATAGTCCAGCTATTGAGCATTACTAATTTCTCAAAAAATGTTGCAGTATCATTTCATGTATGCATGTGCACCAGAGACTTTCACTTGGGTGCATGTCATGCTCACTGATAGGATTTAGATTTTTTCTGATTGACAATCAAAATGAAGCATATTGGTATTTCTGAATAAGCAGTCAATTCAGAGCACTATTTTAACTTTAAGTTTGATTGAATATTGATGTACTCCTACCAAGTTTGAGTAAAAGTTGATTTGTTTCTTCCAAAGCTGAATCATGTCTAGGTCTAATCTTGTCAGGTTAATGCACCAATCACCAATTTGCTAGTTTATCTTGGTTTCCATTTTGAGCCCCATTGTGATCTGAGGGAGGACATACTGGGCTTGTTGTGTAGCAGTACTGGATAAATGTCTTTTAGCTGGTGCATTACCCAGCTGACATGGGAAGGTCAACAGGCAATGTTAAAATGAGTGTCAACCAAGACCTTGGCAGCCTGGCTAGAGCATTAGTTCATGAAACCCCCGTAGGCTGTGAAGGGCAGCCCTGTTAAATATGTGCTGTATAAATTGTTTGATTTATTGATAATATATACATATTGTAGGGGTTGTGGAGGATGTCTGGCTCCATTACCTCAGTTTCTAACATCATCTTCATGATAATGACAGGCAACTGTGACATCTGTCACCAGCATCTGTCACTGCTCACCTGACACCTGTCACCACTCACCTGACACCTGAATCTGTCACCACTCACCCAACACTTGACATATGTTGCTGCTCACCTGACACCTGAATCTTTCACCACTTACCAGGCAATTCATATCTGTCACTGCTCACCTGACACCTGAACCTGTCACTGCTCACTTGACACCTGGCATCTGTCAATGGTCACTTGACACCTGACAATTGCCAGCACTCATCACTCACCTGACTTGTAACATCTGCCACCACTCAGCTGATGCCTGACATCTGCCACCACTCACCAGACACCTGACATATGTCATCATTCACCACTCACCTGGAATGTATCATCTGCCACTGCTCATCTGACAAGTGACATTTGTCACCACTCACCTGGCACCTGACATCTGTCATCACTCACTTGATGTCTGGCATCTGTCAACACTCATCTGACACCTGGCATCTGTCACTGCTCACCTGACGCTTGACATCCGTCACGGCTCGTCACTGCAGTGACCACCGCGCCGGCCGAACCGGGCGCGGCGCTGACCCGTAATGCTGATCGCTGACCCGTGATGGCGCTGACCCGTGATGCTGATCTCGTATCGCCACAGGAGCGACCCGGCGCCCGCGCCCGCCCCCGCCCCCGCCCCCGCCATGGACGACTCCGGCGGCATCACCCTCAACATCTCGTCCGCACCGGTCGCGCCGGCCAAGAAGAAAGCCGCCGTAAGTTTGACCGTCCTGCACTCGCGTTGCTCTGGCTTGCATGATGTAAAAGGGGTGAGTTATGCAAGGCACTGGTCTAGAGAGCAGGGACCTGAGCGGTTCTTGGCTCCGGGGCTCTGGTGGCGCAGTGGTTTCAATGCGCCACTGGCACAGACGCGCAGTGGTTTCACTGCGCCACCGGCACGGACGCACAGTGGTTTCACTGCGTCACAGGAACAGACGTGCAGTGGTTTCCCTGCGCCACCGGAACAGACACGCAGTGGTTTCACTTCGCCACCGGAACAGACAAGCAGTAGCTTCGCTGCGCGTCTGGGAAACCAGAGGTGCGGGGCTCCAAGCTCCAATGATGGCATTCTCAGTTTAAGTTCCGTCCAGTTATTGCGATCTTGCCAGGGTGTGCGGTCTCGGCCGGAAGGATGCTCAGGGTGAGGACGTATTGGTCCTTTTCAAGTGGTGCGGGTGCTACTGCTGGCGCCAGCCCAGAGGTGCACCAGAGCACCTACCTACCCACCTAGAGCTCTAGGTAGGTGCTCTGCACCTACCATGCAGAGCACCTACCTAGAGCTAAGATTTAAACGACTCTCTGGTGCCGGCTTGCGTTGGATTCAGCGCAGACAAACATACTTGGGCACCAGCCGAGTACGGGAATTCATGAGCCGGGTTATTCGCCTGCTCCGCTGGCGTTGAATCAGAACTGGCTCCCGCTATCAGGAAACGGAAATTTTGCGTGTCTGTGACGGGCTAAGCCTCGAGTGTCGCGTCGCCCTGCTCCATCGTCGCGCGGCGTGGCATTAGGTGGGGTGAAGAGGGGAGAAGGGGGCGGGGGGGGGGACGCGGGCGAGAAGAGTCGGCGAAGACTGGACTTCATGCGGCCAGTGAGCGACTACGTCACTTCGATCTGACCCGACGGCCCGCCATAAAGTCGCTGCGTGAGGCGACGTGTAAATTTTAGTGGCACAACATCGCTCGCCAGGACAGGTGGCGGCCCAGATCATGCTAGTAGACCAGTCGCTGTCAGTCGTGCCAAATGCTCGCCGCAAAGAATTGGCGCCAAATTCGCCGAGTCGCCGCCGCCAGAACTGTGCTGTTCTGTCAGATGGTGACGGCTTGAGTATGCGAACTGCGGCCAGTTCAGGAAGTTTTGCCCAACGGGGACAGAAGCTCACTGCGAGGTGTTACACAAACTGTCCGCTAGTGTGCGCTCACCCTTCATGGTTTCCTTGTTCTAATCTCAGCAGAATTTCGTAAAGAACAATACTTCATTACCCTAATATCAGCACCATGGATTCACGTTTACCTTGTTCCGTGTTCATTAAAACACAACTGAGATCGGAAAAACGATGCGTTTATCTAAATTTATAGGGGACAAGCCAAATCAAAGAGACAGCGTAATTCCCTCCCCCCCCCCCTGTAAATAGGTTCGGTAATGATATCGCTTACGTGCACGGTAAGACACAAGGGAAGATAAAGTTGCTCTTGCAGTTAGCCAGTCCCCTTACTACAAGCGATGTCCGTGACACGTGGCGGCTGGGCCTGCTGGGCCGCTGGAGTCGGAAAGCCCGCACGTGCAGCCTACACATTCGATAACCATATCCGGAACGTTGCGCTGCTGTTGCGGGGGCGGCGCTGAGCCATCGACGGCGGACCGATTCATCCAGTCGCCACGCATCGATCAAACGCGCACGGCAGGCGGAGGAGCCATGGGACGCAGGGAGCGTGCCGACGTGGGCGATCCGCGGAAAATCGACCACGCAGTGGCCGACTGCTGGCCGGCTCCCGGCGTCGTCGGCCGAGATACCGCTCCGTCCAGTGTCGGCGTTGGAGCGTGCGCTGGAGCCTGCGCCGCGGCTGACTCCCGTTCTCCGCCGCTGAGTTTGCCGCGCGTTTACGATCAGCTGCGCGTCACAGCTCGACCGAAACGAACGCTATCACGAACCCTAGCGCCATCACGAGCGCGGACCGCCTGCGCCCGACCCGATCCGACCGACCGGACGCGATCCGAGCTGCCCGGACTCCGTCCGCCCCGAACCGAGCCCGACACCGACCTCGACGCCGACTTCGACTCCGACTCGAGTCATGAGTCCGGTGGGCCGGTGCGCGCCGCCGGCGCGCAACGAGCTGCACGGCGAGCAGCTATATGCGGCGCGGCGCGAGAAGGAGTACAAGCAGCAGCAGTTCAACAAGCAGGTGAGGACGCTGCACGCGCACGCGACGCGCCGCAGCTGGGAGGACCGCTCCGACCTCAAGCGGCTGGACGCGGACGCGCGCCTCCGCGACGTCCACCAAGCGGCCGCGCGACAGGACATGCTGAGTGTGCGGCGCTGCCGGCTGCGCGAGAAGCTGGAACGCGAGGAGGACGCGCTGTACGCCGAGCTGGCGCGGCCGCACCCGACGCCGGACGAGCGGCGCGAGGCCATGCGCCGCCGCCTGCAGGAGCTGCGCGCCGAGCGCGAGCGCGAGCGGTGCGCGCTGGCTGAGCGACTGGACGACTATCGCTGGCGGCTCAACTGCGACGAGCTGCGCTGCGCCGTCACGCAGCAGCACGCGCTGGAGGTGCGCCAGGACCGCGACGCGCAGCTGGCCGAGAAGGGCCGCCTGCGCGCCGAGGCAGCCGCGCAGGAGGCGCTTCACCACCAGGTGATGACTGACGACGTGCGCGACTTCGCCGAGGAGAGCGCTGCGCTCGCCGGCGGCATGCGCGAGGCCGAGCGCATGCGCATGCACGTGCTCGACCAGCAGCAGGCGGCGCGCGAGCGCGTCAGGCGGCGCGAACGCGAGGAGGACGCGCTGGAGGCGGCCGATCTCGCCGCGCGCCTCCAGAAGATGCGCGCGGATGAGGAGGAGGAGGCGCGCCGGCAGAAGGAGCAGGACCGTCGCTGCCGCCAGGAGCTGCTGGCCGACATGGCCGCTCGCCGCCGCGCCGCCGAGGACGAACGCAACCGCGACCTGGAGGTCGAGCGCGAGATCTGCGCGCGCGACGCTGACGACCGCGCGCGCGAGACGGCCGCGCTGGCGGCGAGGCGCGCCGCGCACGCGCACGACATGGACGAGTACCGCGCGTACGTGCGCCGCGCGCGCCAGGACGAAATGCGCGCCGAGGAGGAGGTGCAGCGCCTGGTGGACGCCGAGGCCGAGCAGGTGTACCGGCGCCAGCGCGAGCACTGGCTGGCCGAGCGCCAGCGGCGCCAGTGCCTGCTGCAGGAGACGATCGACATCCGGCGCCAGCAGGTGGAGCGCGGTCTGGAGCGCGCGCGCCAGGAGCGCGCCGAGGACCGCGCCTATCACGACCAGCTGGCGCGCGAGCTCGAGCGCCTGCAGCGGCTCGAGGTGGAGCGGCTGGAGCGCCTGCGCCTGGCAGAGCGCGAGCACGCGGCCGACCTGCAGGCGCAGGCGGCCTACCGGCGCCGCCAGGAGGACGAGCTGCGCCAGGAGGAGGCGCGCCAGGCGGCGGACGGCATGGCGAACGAGCGCGCGTACCAGGAGCGGCTGGAGCAGTGCCTGCGGGAGAAGGTGTGCGAGCGGCCGCACCCGTGGCGCGCCGAGCACAAGTACTACGACGTGGTGCAGCTGAAGGGCGCCGCTGCTCAGCAGTGACGCGCCGCACGTGGCGCGCGGATTGGTGCCGTGTGGCACGCGCGGCGGCCGACCGATGGTTCGGACTGGGGTAAATTTGCGAAAAGCGCCAGGCCCGTCTCATTGCTGCAGAGGTCTCACTTTGGCCGGAGCACGTGGCGCGCTGCTGCACAGAGCAGGCGTTGATGAACAACGAAATGTTTCTATGTTCGATGCTGTTGTTGGAAGCTGCCCTGCAGCTTGGCTTCCTGAGTTTCGGGGTTGCAAATTGGTTGTCTTTTGTATTTTCGGACTGCCGTACTTGACCTGCTTTACGTGGATCTCGTGCTGTTGCCGATGATTAAATGCTTTGTGTTAGCATCTTTTCATTGAAGGTAGCAAATGTTTTACACTGTTGGCGTCGTTAGAAGAGAAGCACGGCTGTTGCATCAGTCAACGTGTGCGTTTATCCTTCATAACACCTCATTTGAGGATGCCAGTAGCATAGCGTTTAACGTCTCGTCCTGTCGTTGTCCAAATATTTATGTCGAAACGTGGTTTTACTTCTAATGTCCAGCATCCTCGTCACACATGTAGTTCCCGCACTATGGTTAGTCTGGATTAACCACGCTCCTCTGTCTTTGTTTTTTTCGGCATTGCTGTTAATGCAGAAGCAATAAAGGTGCTTGCGCTGCTCTGTTTCGGTGTTTTTAGCCATGTAGGCGTTGGTATTGGGTGGGTTAAGCCACCTTGTAGCTTACACAGTTCCGTATTTGTGGCCATTGACCCAAGTGGTGCGCATGTATAAGCGGTTTACATTTTACCGCTCTATGCAGTATACCACTCGCATTTTTGTTAGCCGTCTAGGGTTGAACGGATTCCCACCGATGTTTTGGAAATGTCCCCAACTTATACCCCATTACTTTTGTGAGATGAGCGGACACAACAGGGTGGTAGGCAACTACTCTTAAGACCCCGGAAGGATCATGTGAGAACACAGAAGCATTATGGTTGGCATCGCTTACAGCGGTTTTGAAGGCTTCGCCAGCAACCTCTGTATGAGCCTGGTTATTGGAATGGAACACGATCGTTGGAGCATCGAGCTGACGCCCGTATTTTTATTTTCAGAAGCGACCCCCAGCTCCAGTCTCGTGGACTGCCGGGGCTCCCGGAACTTCAGAGTCCTCTATAACCGCCGTGAGCTCTCATTCCACCAAGAAAAAGGCGTTAACAGCGCGCCGACGCGACACCAACAAAGATGGCGGCCGACGCGACTTCAAACAAGATGGCAGCCGACGCGACGCCAAACAAGATGGCGGCCGCGTCGCGGGCAACAAACCGGTGCTGGCGTCACTGTTCTCTCACAATCCGGCCGTGCCGGAGCTGGGACTACCGGCGAGTGAGCCGGCCGTGGCGGACGTGTTCTCCGGACAGAACTTCTCCGACCTGCAGCTACACCCTCACCTGGTGAGGGGAGGGGAGGAGAAGGAGAAGAGGGGAGGGGTGGGGGTGAGGTTGACCGCTGGTGCTGTTGCCGGGACCGCTCTGGACGTTGTTGAGACGAGAATTGGTATGAGTATGATATGAATATGAGGTTTCGAAGGAAGCTGGCAGGGAAATCCAAAGTCGTGGGCAGGGCACTAGCAGAGCTGTGGTTAAGTTGCTCGTCTAGGAGGCCAGAGGTGCAGGGTTCGATTCCTCGCGGTGCCCGCCCTTCCTGCCAGGATGAAAGGTAGGCTGCGCCATATCAGACGCCCTATGTCATCTGCAGCTGAGTGTATCGTAAGGCATAACACTGTAGTGGGGAAATCGCATCTTGAAAAGAAATAATTTTGGAAAAAGACATAATTTTTAAGTGCCAAAAAAGCTTAAGTTGCATGCAGAAACGACCGTTGTCCATTCCGAGGTTCAGGTCCATACAGATGTCAGTGGTGGAACTTTCTACGCTGGTGAGTGCATCGTGAAGCCCATTGGCAGCAACGAAGTCCTGTTTAGAGTCACAGGGTTCGTTTGGATGGGAGTCTCATGGGAGTTTCGTTCCTGTGTGTCGTAACGTTTGCAGCGATATTAAAACCGCGCATTCAAAATCATGTGAAAGCAGGCTACACCCTTTCGAGATGCGTGAGCGTCCCATTTGAGCCACGAAGGACTGCCACCCTCCCCCCCCCCCCTGCTTGACAACGCCCCGTAAACAGCGAACCACCAGTCTGGCGAGTGTTCGCCGGCACTGAGGCCTCAGCTCTTCAGCTCTGCATGAGCTACCATCAACTTTCGTGTGCCCACCGCGACATGACGTCGCGTGACGCCGCCGCCTCCGTCCGCCAGGTGGCGAACGTGACCAAGGCGCTGGGCGGCGCCGAGATGACGCGCGTGCAGCAGCGGGCGCTGCCGGCCGTGCTGGCCGGCGGCGACTGTCTGGTGCGCTCACAGACCGGCAGCGGCAAGACGCTGGCCTACCTGCTGCCCGTCATACAGGTCAGTCCGGCCGCGCGCGCACGTGCGGGCGGCGCGCGCACGAGCGGGCGGCCGTGATGCGTCCGGGGTGGTCGGCGGGGCGGGGAGGGGAGGGGGACGCGGCGAGCTCGAGGCGCGCCGACACGCGCGGCTGACCCCAGGCTTGAGGGACGTGGCATGACGCTGTGGGGACAGATCTGTGCCATGTTGTCCCTCGTGGAAGGGCTGGGCTGCTAATGATGTGCGGCGGTTTAAGAGGCGCGGCTGCTGCTGGTTATTTCGGATGCCGCGCAAGTCAGCCGGACGGGTGGGGAGGGGGGGGGGAGAAGGTCACATGACCGTGGAACATTGCAAACCCGCTTCCGCCCGCTACTGCAGGGCGTGTGGCAGAAGGCGGCCGGCCCGCGATGTCACGGGACGCTGAAACGGCAGGATGACGCGACCATGAGACGTGACGTCACGTGGTCAGGATGGTGTGTCGTGTCGTGTTCTGTCGTGGCGTGTCGTGTCGTGTCGTGTCGTGTTCTGTCGTGTGTTGTCATGCCGTGTCGTGTTGTGTGTGAAGTGATTCAGGACCCCACGCCCGGTAGGTGGCGGTGTGGCCCGTACGCCTGGTGCGTCACCCACCGCTCGCCCGCCCCTGCCGCCGCGGTTGGATAGCTCTAGTTCCTGTCCCTGCCGTGCGTGGCGCTACTGGTTCGTCGCCCACGGCTCTCCTCGTGTTTACAAGCACGTTGCGGCATGCGCCGACGGACAGCCGTTACTATAGAGGGCTCTTGAACGTTGAATGGTCAAGAAGCAAGCAAATGATTGAAGTGAAACATGATAAGATGGTGTAAAAGCCCCTCTGGCAGGAGCCAGTCTGCCGTCTCCTCCCCGTCATTCTCCTAATTTTGTTACGTTAAGCGTGATCCTGTCCCTTGTGGGCTGTTTGAGTGGCACCAGTGTGCAATTGTAAACGCTGAGTATCCTATGAGTGAGACCCATCGCAATACCCAGAGTGAGACCCATCGCTATACCCAGAGGGAGACCCATCGCAATACCCAGAGTGGGACCCATCGCAATACCCAGTCGGGAAAATAGCGGTGTGTTTGTGGGGCAGATTGGACACAGTCACTGCGTGCATGGCCTTTGGGCCTATGCTTCAGAACGTGTATGAGAGAGGGGATCGAAAATTGTTCGTGTCGGACCACTCGTTAAGCCCGCGACTGTTACCGGCGAGGGCTGTTTGGGTGGAGCTGATACTCACGGCGTAGTATGGACGCGGCCACGCCGTTGACAAGCGACACCCATAGGCGAGCTATGGACGTCACTTGTCAACGGCGGCAATCGCTCGGTGGATTTCACAGCAACTTTTACGGGGGTTTTAAGCCACAGATTGTCGTAGCTCCATGGGTGTTACCATCGACGAGCGGGTGGGGAAAGGCAGGGAATATATCTTCACAATCTTTTAAAAATGACTTTTTCCTCTGCTCGTTCAGCACGAGTTTTTACGCTTTCCCATTCAAGAATAGCATTTTTATGTCACGTCGTCGCCCGGCACATTCCAGTTTGATTCCCAACCCTGACCGATCCCCAACCCTGACCGATCCCCAATCCTGACTGATCCCCTAATCCCAGAGGCGTGGTCTCAGCCACAGGGAAGAGCTCAACCTCGGGGCTGTCACGCCGTCCGTCTTCAGTGAACGCGTGGTGCCAGTTAACGCTGTGCATAATACCTAGTAAGTGCACCGGGGTCACCTTGGTACGAAAGTCTGACGTGGAAAGACCGACGAAACGATAGTCTGACGTTGAAAAGACCGGCGAATTGGTTTGTAGATTAATTTTCTTGTAAACGAGCTGAAATGTTTCGTTTACAGCTTTTGATGTCTGTTGTCAGCTATGGATGAAACATGCGTGATGCTATCGTGCCTTGCGCAAGCCTGTCCTTCCTCTGGAAATGTGTTGCTGACGTCACTGACTTAGAGTTTCGTCAGCACGGACTTTGTTCACCAAAGGTCACGAGGGCACGTGACGTGCCCCAAAGTCTGGAAGGACGGATAGCGCGCATCAAAGCTGGCAATGACGGGCATTGCAGACCCCGAAGGCCGACAGTCCTGGTATTGTGCACCGGCTCCTCGTTAGGCCGACTTCGCACAGAAGCTCCTTTCACACGTGTTGCACGCCCTTCGTTCCCACGTGCGACGCCGCCCATTCGCTAGTATTGACCGTGCTAGCTGCCTGTGGGCGTTTCTCCGTGGCGCGGTGTCGGTACGCCGCTGGAACGAGGTGGACCGGCGCAGCAGGGTGCGCCGTCCCCCCCCCCCCCCGGCGCGCGCCCGGCGACGCCCCCTGCCCGCGTTGCTCGTCGTTCATTCGGTCGGCCGCTGCTCCGCGCTCGCCAGCCCCGGTTTCGCCCGGCTGACGCAGGTGGCGTAGACGAATCGGACCGGGTCATACCAGGCGACGGTCTGACCGCGGAGCAGCCCGGATTCAATCCGCAGACTCGGCCTGAGCCAGCAGATCGCGACCCGCTAGAAGTCGACTGGAGGCCGGACGGTATCGGGACTGGAAGACAGTGAGGTAATTGCCGCTGCGCCGCCTGCGTCAAGGACAGACCAGTACTTCGCTTGCGGCAGCCTCGCCCGGATCAGATCTGACCGCGGGCCGTCTCCCGCGCCAGCCGCGACCGTCCATCCACCCGCCTCCGCCCGCAGACTGTTCGAACCGATCGGTCCCCCGTCCGCCCCTCCGACCTCACGATGGCGCTCACCTCCTGCTGCGGCTGCTGGGACCTGCGCAAGGGCTCGGTGGCCGTCGGCATCGTGTACCTCGTGTTCTCGGTGTTGGCCGTGCTGGCCAGCATCGTCCTGCTGGCGGCCGGCGAGGCGCTCTTCCGGCAGCCACTTCTCGACGCCAACGTCAAGAGCTCCGACGTGGACGCGGCGCTGCGCCTGATCCGCGGCGTCTCGGTGGGCATACTCGTGGTCATGCTGCTGCTGCTGCTGGTGCACGCGCTGATGGTGCGCGGCGCCATGCAGGACAACGCCTGCCTCATCCTCATCTGGCTGATCGTGCACGGCATCCTGCTGGTGCTGGGCACTCTCGCCCACTGCTGGGGCATGGTGGCGGCGTGCGCTGGGAGGCATGGCCTGGCCCCATCGCCGCGGCCGTGCTGTCGCTGATGTGGGACGCGCTGCAGTGGTACTGGTTCGCCGTCGTCGCCACCCACTACCAGAACGTGCGCAACGACGAGGCCGTGCAGAAGATGAGCAGGGTGCGGCCCTCGCCGCCGGCCTAAGGCGGCGGCACGGCGGCCGGCCGGCGCCGGAGGAGGCGACGGCAGTGTCGGAGGCCCCGCCCGCGGTCCGGAGCATGGCCCGGGTCCGGCTTCGTGTCCGTGATCGGATCAGCAGATCAGAGCAGATCAGATCAGACCGGCCGTTGATCAGTGCCTGCGTTCGCCGTGGACGGGGTCCGAGTCTGCAGCGGACGAAGGCGGGTCCACCGCGGCGGGGGGTCCTGGTGTGCTGTGGAGCAGGGCGTGTCCTGTCGGTGCCAGGGCCTGTTTCCGTCGTGGACCAGGCCCTCCACTGCAAACGAGGACTCCTGTCCTCTGTGGACCAGAGGTCCTGTCCGATGCGGACCTGGGGTCGGTTCTGCCATGGATTGGGATCCAGGTTTAATATCAGGCAGGGCCAACGCCAGGGTTTGCGTTAGTATTTGTTTAAGCAGCTGAGCTGAGTATGATATGCCTCAGATTTAAACACCGTACACTTTTAATCAGTGCAAAAACATTTCTAAGGGACGAACGTCCAAACGTATGCTGCGTTCTCATGGAGCATTCAGAGAAGCGGAAAGAAAAAAAGTTGTCAATGACACGAGAGCGGATTATAATGACACGAGATGACACGGGCGCCGATTGTATCATTCCACAGTCGGGTAAACTTTTGTGGCATCGCGTACGTACATAGTCCTTGTAAAGAGGCGTTTATTGTGATAGTCCGGTGCCTTCTGTATTTGACAGCAACCTTTTGTAAACAGCTCGGCACACACCCCGCCACATCCCGTCGAGCGAACGTCGCACAGGCCCGTCCGCGAAGCACCTGCCGTTAGACTGCAGGCGCTGGTGCGTGGTTCCAGTCGACAGCTATTCGCACGTGGCAAGGGCACGCCCGTTTCGTACATTTTGCGTATGTTCATGAAGAACATGAGTAACAGCATGCCGTCAAACTGCATGACGTCACGGTCAGCGAGTTATGCAACGCAGCTGTGACCGGACGCGGGCAACCTTAGCGAGATAGGGCGTCTGCGGCGAGGCACGGATCGGTGCGTGTTGGCTTGTTGGAGTGGGCGGGAAGCTGCCGTTATTTGACGATCTGCCGGCGGCGTCCGGCGAACTGGTGTCCGCTCTAGTTGGCCTCGATCGAGTGCTGTGCGGCCGGCCAGGGTATCTCACGAGCTTCAGACGTGGTGTTGCCATAGGCCCCGTTTTCTGTTTGTTTGTTTTTTGTTGGGGCTCAGGGAACCCACTATTTTGATGCGTCGAGGGACGGTTTTTGTTGTTGAAGAGGTACCGCGGCTGTCAAAGTGCCATCTCCGCTGCCTCCAGGGGGTAGGGTGGGTCTTGATTCGCAAAGGCCCCCTGGGCATTGCCGCTTCGGGGAAAGCATCAGTCTGTGATCATTTGTGCACTTATTCCGCATCGTACGCTCGACTGGGCACTGTCCTGCACTTCGCATCTTTACTAGAAGTGCCCTTGTAGTCATGTCGTCTGAGGTCAGTGAAAACACAGGGAGTGAGAAGAAGCGACGCTCCCCCACACTAGTCAGGTTTACAGGGTATCGCAGGTCACGCGGCCTTGACTGGAGTCAATTCGCGAAGCGACAGCGGCCTATGCTCTTCAACCTTAGTCGTGAAATATAAAGCCGAGGTGCTGGAGGCACCGGCGTCGCACTTATCATGGTATCTGCGCCGGCCACGGCTTGTTCGAGATGTCTAGTCGAGCTTGTGTGTCGGTGTCGAAGAAGTCCGTCTTTGTA